AAAAACACTATTGATCCCTGAAATCTTTGGTAATACCAATGTTCACTTTGTCTGGTTTTGTTGCAGCATGCCCCATACACAACACATGAAAGACTTTTCTGCAATCAGTAATTATTATATAGCAATAATCTACCTTTAATAGTTGTTAAAAAATATTAAGGAACAGAAATTTAATAAAATTTAATTTTTAATTCTCGAATTTCATTGACTGGAATGCTTGATTGGTAGCTTCAAATTCCAATAAAAGGTTTTGGGAGCTTCCAACGCGCATCACTGGTCCACTGTATGACAAGAATTTAATTATAGTCCGTTGTGACAAGGTTTGATTTAAGCATGGCACTAAACTTCGTTAGGAACAACTATTATTTTGTTCAGCCGACTGACTATTTGTAATCTACATTATTTCAACCAATTAAGTTAAATCCGTGACACAAATGTGGCATACAGTCTTGTGACATTTCACGCAGATCAACGGGGATACATTTCTCTTTTTTATTTTATAAAACATTTATTTCTTCTAATTTAACGATAAAATGTCAAATCGCTGGCAAAATTATGATGATCGCGGCAGATTTTGTTTATTCCCAATTCCGAACTTTTCTATATTTAAACAGAACAGAGATCTCGGAATTTATGTTTCAGGGGGATTGGTAAAATCAATTTACTTTATATTCTTTAAATTCTTTAAATCCATGCATTAATCTTTGTCAGATAGTTTAGTTTAACTTAACTTAGATTAGTCAAATTCATTCATTCATTCATATATATGTACACACACACATATTTTTCATTTATTCATAGTTTGCTTTAGGATGGTGGTTTTTTATCGATTCAGTGGTTTATTCCAGCAATATAGAAGGTGCACCTTCCATAAATTTTGAAGATTGGATGTGCGGTATATCTACTACGTTAGGGATGATGGTGTAAGTTGATCTTTTTCTTCTGCTAAGACCTTATACAAAAAAGGATTGTTAAATGGAATTCATATTAACAAACCTGGAATATTTTTCATTTAGCGTGAATTCACTTGACAAAAATAGTCTTGCTGGTGATTACTCTAGTTACTCTGGTTATTCTTCTGTTGATACGAGGGATCGTTTGTTTTTATTTGTAGGGTTTGCGTTAATGGCAGGCGGATTGGCCGGATCTGTGGTACGCTGAGTTAATTTTATGTGTTATATTATTATGTTATGCGTATTTTAACATTGCTTTAACCAAAAATTTTCATCATTGTATTTTTTTTTAGACAATTTTGATCCTTAAATATATTCTGGCAATTGCTAATTCCGAATTTTTATATTTTGGGATCGCATTGGTTATCCAAAACTTTGCCATCATGCTCAGGTTAATTTTTTCTTTCTCCAAAAAAAAAAAAATCTTATATAATTAATCCATCTTGGAATAATTCGCTAATGTATATAGATTCTTTTTATTATTGTTTAGTGCGGTGATTTTATGGATTTCACATAATTCAGGGCCTGATTATCCAGATAGCTATGGGTTTTAATAAGAACTTGATTGTTTAAAGTTTTTATTTTTATATTATGTTATATTATACTATTTTAATAAATAAATTTGTATTTTATCTATCGAATATTTTTCTCAACAGATTCAAAAAAACTTGGACGAGATAATTAAACTGATCTTGTACAAGTTTTTTTTGTTAAATTAATTTTGTTTTAATTTTTTTTTTTAGAGAAGATAATTTTATTTTTTTACATTCACAAACTACTCTTTCAAATTATTCAAACAATAAATGTTCTCTCTATTATATGTTGAATTGTCAATTAATCAATTAACTGACTAATTAACTAACTCTTCAATCAAATAAAACAGGGGTAAACATGTCAACGAGTGATTAATTTATTTATTTTTCTTGATATTCTCAACTTGTTTGCTATACATAATAACCCTATTCTTTCTTCAAATTCTATTCAAGAAATAAAAATTGAAAATATTAAATATCAAAGGTTAATAAAATTCTATTTCGCCTATGGTATCGTTAACACTTACTGAAAATATGATTATGATGTATACAACAAAACGTCGTAATTTCTCGTGTAACAAATTTTTTACAACAGCAAAATGCAACAAATCATAACGCCAAAACTCTTTGATACGGATAACATTCAACCCATATTAGCTGACACTTTTCAAGAAGAATCAACAAGGACTGTTGCCTTTGTGCCTGGCTTTATGCCAGAGGATCAATTGCCCGAAGCTAGGGATGTTATATTAAGTCATCAGGTACCTTTCAAAATTTTTTAATTATCATCATATATGATATGTTGTATTGATAAATTCTTTATTTTATTTTATAATCAATTAGGTTCGTCATCAAGTAGCAATTCCTCCTAATTATGATTACATCCCACTTTCTCAACATGTTTCACCTGAAGAGCCTGCAAAAGTATTTCCATTTGAATTAGATCCATTTCAAAAAGTTGCGATACAATGCATAGAAAGATCTGAATCAATTCTAGTAAGTGCACATACTTCTGCTGGTAAAACTGCGGTAGCAGAATATGCTATTGCACAAGCTTTAAAAAAAGGAGAGAGAGTTATTTATACGAGTCCTATAAAGGTATGAAAAAAATGTTTGTTAACAAGTAGGAGGCGTGGTTTGACATAAATTAATTGTTATTTTATTATGATTATTATTGTTATTAAGGCTCTAAGCAACCAAAAATATAGAGAATTAGAAAGTTTTTTTGGAGATGTTGGACTAATAACTGGCGATGTTTCCATCAAACCAGATGCAAGTTGTTTAGTGATGACTACTGAGGTAAGTTTTAGAAATTTTATCTAAATTTTATTAAATTTTATTCTAATATTCAAAATTTTATTAAATCTTTCAAATAGATTTTATTAACTATGCTTTATCGTGGAAATGAAATGATGCATGAAGTGTCATGGGTGATTTTTGATGAGATACATTACATGAAAGATCAAGGTATTTGTTTATTTGCATTTTTGTACAAAAAAAAAAGTATTTAATTTATTCAAGAATCATTTTATTAATACTTACCCATTTTAATTAAGTCCGAGGAGTTGTTTGGGAAGAAACGATTATTCTTTTATCAAATAAAATTCATTTTGTATTTTTATCTGCAACCATTCCCAATGCTATGGAATTTGCTGAATGGATATGTAAAATACATGCACAAGTAAGATTTTATTATTCTCAATGATTTTCTTTATGATATTTATATAATGCTTATTTATTTAATAATTCTTTTTAAAATAAAATTGATATTTGATAATACTAGCCGTGTCATGTTGTGTACACCGATTTTCGTCCAACTCCATTACAACATTATATTTTTCCTTGTGGAGGTGACGGCATTTTGATGATTGCTGATGAGGAAGGAAATTTTCAAGAAGAAAATTTTAGAAAAGCAACAGGAATGTTGGATGTAGATGCTAATGTTGAGTATTTTGATTACAAGGGAAAGAAAACAATAATACCATCGGGAAAAGGTAGAAATTACTCATTAGTTGATTTCTATTAAATGTTAATTTTTAATAATAATTGCACTTTATATTTTTATATTATATTATTATTGTTAAATTATAGAAAAATCCGATATTTATAAAATTGTAAGTATGGTCATGGAAAAAGTATACGATCCGGTAATAATCTTCACATTTGGTAGAAGAGAGTGTGAGAATTTAGCTATGCAAGTAAATCATTTAGATTTAACTGGAGGTAAAATAGATAATAATGTATTTTTTTTTAATTTCAATCAATTAGTTATAAATAAGTTTAATGAATTACTTGAAAATTAGACGAAGAAAAGGATCTAATACAACAAGTATTTGACAATGCACTCAGCATGCTTCCTGATGACGATCAAGATTTATCACAAATTGGAAATATGTTACCATTTTTAAGACGTGGTATTGCAATTCATCATTCAGGATTATTACCATTCCTTAAAGAGGTCGTTGAATTGCTTTTCCAAGAAGGGTTAATCAAGATTCTTTTCGCAACTGAGACTTTCTCTATGGGTCTTAATATGCCTGCTAGAACTGTTGTATTTTCTGATATAAAAAAATTTGATGGTCAATGTGTAAGATATGTGAGTATTTTTGATAAAAAATTTTATTCTTTATTATTTTTATTAAATTGATTTTATTTTTTAATCTAGTTAACCTCTGGTGAGTATATTCAAATGTCAGGCCGTGCAGGTAGGAGAGGTCTTGATTCAAGAGGAATTGTAATAATCATGGCCAAAGAAAAGTTAGAACCATCAATTGTTAAAGGGATGGTGATGGTAAGTTTACCTTCAACGTCATTATTTATTTTAAACTAATTGAAAATTATTTTTTAATATTTGAATTTTTATAAAAATAGGGTAGACCCGACAATTTATATTCTGCATTTCACTTAAAATACAGTATGATTTTAAATATGACCAGAGTTGAAGGAATTAGTCCTGATTACATTCTTCAGAGAAGTTTTTATCAATTTCAGAATACAGCTGGATTACCAAAACTTGAAACAGGTATGCAATTTGTTCTAAAGATAAAAGCCTTTTTTTTTCAGAGTAATGAATATTAATCAATTGTCTAAATCTTTCATAAAAATAATTAGAGCTAAGCAAATTAGAAAAAGAATATAAAGATTTTGATGTACCAGAAGAAGATGCAATCAAAGAGTATTTTAATATAAGGTCACTTTTAGATTCATATATTCATGATATAAGAAATATTGTAAATCATCCACTTAACATTTTAAAATTCATGAGGCCTGGTCGCTTGGTTTGGGTGAAACATGCAAATATGGAGTTTGGATGGGGTATGGTAGTTGCTTGGGGAAAAAAAAAGGTAATGAAATAAAAAAATAAATTTAAAGCTCAAAATAAGATTATCAATACTTTCATTAATATTAATAAAAGCAGGATCCAAGTTTTGAAGCAAAAAATACTTTAAATCCGACGGAGAATAATTCTGAATTAAATCAACCAGCAGCCGAGAATCCCGGAGAAAACTCAGAAGAAATTATAGAAGAAAATCTAGAGAAATTGGAATTTTCTTTACCTCCAGACCATTATTTTGTTGATGTGTTATTAAATTGCGATCCTGAATCAGTTGTTGCTAAATCAGCAGACGGTAAACTTATTGGTGTAAAACCTTATAAGGGAGATGGTTTAGGAGAAATGATGGTATTATATAATATCGCTTATTTTACATATATTTATTTGATTATTTGATTATAATTAATAAAATTTCTTACATACAAAATTAGATTGTCCCTGTTGAACTTTCTACCCTTCATTATATAAGTCAAATCCGTGTATTTTCACCCAAGAATCTATCACATAGAGATTATAGAGACGCAGTATACGATAGTATAATAGATATCCAAGAAAGATTTCCTGAAGGAATTCCACTTTTAGATCCAATAGAACATATGGGTATTGACGATGAAAGCTTTCAAAAATTAATAAGGGTAATTACACACCACTGTTATTATTATTGTTATTATTATTATTACCACCATATGGATATGCTTTATTTTTTTTGAAAATTATACAATAATAATGATTTAATTATTAATTATTGTTTTAGAAAATTGAGGTATTGGAATCCAGGCTTGTAACTAGTCAGCTTCACAATACAGAAAGACTTCCAAAATTATACGAACTATATTGTAAAAAAAATGATCTTAAACATAAGTTAAAATTGTTAAAAAAGACGATTAATATTTCTCGATCTATTTTACAACTTGATGATCTTAGGTGTCGTAAAAGAGTTCTTCGTCGGTTAGGATATTTAACAGGAGATGATGTGGTTACTATTAAAGGTCGTGTTGCTTGCGAAATAAATGCAGGAGATGAGCTTGTATTAACTGAAATGTTATTGAATGGTGTATTTAATGATTTATCTTCAGAAATGACAGCAGCTCTTTTAAGTTGTTTTGTATTAGAGCAGCCTGGCGAAAAGAAAACAGGGCTTGTTAAAGAAGAATTTTATACAATTTATCGTAGATTACAAGAGACCGCTCGAAATATTGCAGCAGTGACCGTTGAATGTAATATTGCATTAGATGAGGATCAATATTTATGCACATTTCCTCCAAATATGATGGAAGTTGTTTATAATTGGTGTCAAGTGAGTGTAATTTATTTAATTAATGGAGAATTTTTGAATGATTTGGTTTTTCCAATTACTTTCATTTTATTAGGGAAAGCCTTTCTCGCAAATTATGAAAATGACTGATTCAGTTTTTGAAGGGGAAATTGTCCGCATGTTTCGTTACCTTGATGAAATGTTAAAAGGAATGATAGCTGCATCTAAAATTATAGGAAATAACGAATTGGTAGAGAAGTTTAATGAAGCCATTGGAAAATCAAGACGTGGCATAATTTTTGCCGCATCCTTATATCTTTAATAAAGTTTTTTATTGATTATTTGATGTTTTGGATGAATGATTAGTTCTGTGCACCATAATAATATATTTGTGTCATGTGATCTGTTACTGTATTTTATTTATCTGCTTTTTTTGATCTGTTGTTAACTTGTTCAAAAAAAATTAAATAAATGGGTCTCGAGTTTTTCAAAATAAATGATTTAGAAAATACTTCTTTATTCAACTACAGTTACGATGTAGTAATGACATCGTTGGAAGGCTTCATGAACTGGATTCTTAATCCATACTTTCTAGACAACAGTGGAGCATCTCGTGATCATCGATATCAACCTACTTTGTGGAATTTCTTGTATTCATACAATTTATTTTTAGCACTTTTTACTGTAAGTCATAGTGATATTTTTTTAACATGTATAAAATGATTTTTTATATTATAATCATTTATGTATATAACACTTTTTTTAGAATGTCGTTATTAACCGGATCTATGCGATTGTTACAATACACAATCCAAGACCTTTACCATTTAAAGCTCGTCTATTAGTCAGAATACCATCTATATACTACTTGACTAAAGCTTTAATGGTTTTAACGGCACGACTTGCAATAGAAATTCCTAGTTTACAGTCTTTTTTGTTTCAATCGATTTTAGATCTCGCTAATGATTACAACAATCAACAAGCACTTTGGCTAACTTTTAAATCCTTCTCAGGTGTATACGTTTTGAAAGCTTTTCATTGTTGCCTTGAAAATAGAGTGTAAGTAATTTCATTTACTAGAATCGTTATAGAAATACATAATTTGTTGATGAATTCCAAGAGACTTTAATTAATTAACGCGAATAAGGGTTTTTTAAAAAAACTCATTAGTTTACCAGGAAGAGAACAAAGCACTACATTATATGAATATTCGTTATTGTTTCATTTCTGTGACATTTCATCAGGAAAATCCAATGCAGATTTACTATTGATAGCATTTTTTGAAAATTTGGACGTACTTTTATTAGAAACTTTATATCTTCATCCATCAGGCCTTCAATATCGTCTTATCACTACTTCAATCGTTGGAATTAGTGGGCTTGGTAAGTTATTTTGATTGGGGTGAAAAAATATCGATTTTAAATTAATTGGTTAAAAGGGATATATTTAAAAAATCAAAACCCAATCCTAACATTTTTAAATCAACATTTATATATATTAATATATAGTTCATTACATATATGCAATGTGCTATAGATCAGACACATATCCTATTTTTCAAAGTTTTGTACGATTTCCTGAACTTGCATTATTTGTTCTCATATTTATTTGCTTTTCAATTCATATTATTGCATATATACTTACTGGTGGAAATATTCGAAGGAGATTTTTCTTGGATCTTTCATCTTTGCCATCATTAAGTGGGGATTATACATTGGAAATATATAGAATTGGCACTATTATTATCGAAACCCAACATATTCAAGGATTCCGTAATGAATTGCCACCGATATATTTACCTTCTTCCACATATCTCGAAAGATCGAGAAGGAATTCAAGACGACAAGCTTCCATTGAACAATCAAACACGATAAGACCAAGACCCGGATTTGACAATTTACAAAATAACAATACTTCAGGCTCGACAGATCTTCATATCCAACCTTTTGCTACGTGGACAAGATTTTTTATGAAAGTTATACAATTATTTTACGTTACAACATTAAGAATCGGTGCTTGGATAAAACCATCTTTCAGTAGTGATAGTCAATTACAACCTCTGGAGGTTGAAACAGTCGAAGATTTAAATTGGGATGACGAACTATATGAAAAATTTCTTCATGGAGAATTTGATGATGATGATGAGGTTGATGAGGAGATTGAAAATTACACTTTAAACAATTCAGAAGAAGAATATGATGATGATGATGACGACGACGATGACAGCGAAATATCTTTTCATGAATTGTTTTTATTAGGAAATGACTTAAGAGAACATTATTCTTCAACATCCACATCAATTACACGATATGCTTTGGCACACTTTTCATGTCCCAATGTTTTAACTCGTAGAAAATGTCAAGAAAATTCCAATAACAATTCTTTATCTGCACAATCTTCTCATATGAATGAACTTTCCGCTATTTCAGCATTAATGAATGAGAGGCGTAAACCAAATAAAATTTTTAATCTAAGATCTTCAGATTCTCATTGTGTTGTTTGTCTGATCGAACCAAGGCTTTGTGTTCTTAAACCTTGCGGCTGTCTTGCAATTTGTGAGTTGGTAAGTGTTGTTTTGGAGAAGAGAAAAAACCCGATACCTTGGTCACCTTTATAAAAATTTTATTTATTTATGATTGCACATCATTAATTATTATTGTCGTTATTTCTCTCATTAGTGTCGTAAATTGATGGCACAGAGAAATTTCGAGTAAGTAGCATTAAATTTTAAATTTTGACATATTTATTGTGTCCGTGTACTAAGAGGATTATTTTTTTCTATAAATAAAGAGTATGTCCATGCTGTCGTCAAAAAGTGGAAGGCTATTCTCGTATATACATTCCATAAAAAATAATCATAATAGATATAGATATTTCAAAAGCAATGGCATTAAAAAATTGATATTGAAAAAAAAAAAAGGAATTTTGTAAATAATTTATTGGCTAGAAATTTTAATATTGAAGGTCATTCGTTGTTGTTTTATAGATATAAAATAATTTAGTGTTAGTAAAAATGACATTTTTTAATATTTCTTGTTATTATTAGATAGAATATATATTAAAAAATATTTTAGATGGTAAAAAATTGTGGATTCTGTCGACGAAAATATACGCGTAACATCGTAAACAAACACGTGCATCCAATACCAACACGACCAAAGAATAACAAGCCTGTTCGGAAAATTAATTGTTCTTATTTTTTTAAATGAATAAGAAATTATTGGTTTTATTGGTTTAATTATAATATATTTTAATATAAAAAATAGAAAAACTTCCACGCTTATGTCTTACAGTATGTTATGTAAACAGGTGACAATAATATTTATTTATAAATATTTTTATTTATTTCACGAAGAATTAATATAGATACTAATACACATTTTTCCACATTTCTTTATTGTGTAATTTAAATTTTTATGATATTTCTGTTAATTTTTATTTTTAGATTTGATTTTCATATTTATTAATTGTTGCCTATTAAATATTAATAAATTAATATCTTTAAAAGGAATCTTATGAAATTGTTTCTGCACCAATTGCTGCTGCAAGGGAACGGAATTCATAATAATTAATAATGTTCAATTCCTGCATGTTATATGCACAATATAATTGTTATCTTTCTCTTTCCCCCCAAATTAATATAATGAATTAATCTTACTGCTGGTTTGTCGTTGCATGCACGACTTCGGATTAAATATAAATATAAAATTTATTTGACTTTGAAAAAAAAACTTTTCAAAATTTATTATTTTCTTGCAAAAAAATATTTTTTTTTTATTAATAAAAAATTAACAAGAAAACTCGCCTTTTTTCGAAAACATTTAATTGAGATAAACATGTCGAATAGCATTGACGATATCAACGACGAGACTGAAATGATTTTTGATGAAACAGGACAGATAAAATTTGCAACACTGAATGCGCTGGTTACCTATCTGACGACTGAGTCAAATGATAAAAAAAATAAAGATATAAATACAAATTTTGATAAAATTTTCATGCATACGTTTAAATTGTACTGCGAACCTTTAGTTTTTTTGGAACTCTTGATCCAAAGAGTCCAATCAAACAATCCTGATAGCAACGAGTTGATGGTCAAATTAAAAATTCATGATATAATAAAGATCTGGCTGTTAAATCATTGCGATAAAGAAGACGAGCAAGACGAGATTTGTTTAAAAAGATTGACTACTTTTATTAATGATGATGTGTCAGAGAGCGATAAAGATATTTATGAAGATTTATTAACCATTATTGATAAAATCGTAAGTGAAATAGTTTTTCATGATAATGCTTATTATTTGTCATTATCTATTATTTTTAACTTGAAAAAAAAATTTTTTTATCCAGGGAACCAAAAATTTATACGAAATTAATTTTGATGAAAGAACAATTTCTACATTTTCAACAACTTCATCTCCATTACCTATAATTCCAAAAAACTTGAAAAAATTAACTATATTAGATATTGATCCTTTAGAAATGGCCAGACAATTAACAATTCTCGAAAGCAAATTATTCAAAAAAATCATGCTTGGGGAATTTTTAACAAAAAATCGTGAAAATGCAAAAAATATAAAAGAACTTATAAAAAAAACCAATCATGTAATTAAGAACTTCAATTTTATTATTATTTAATTTTATTATTTGCTTCCAAAAATTTTTAATTTTTAATTTTAATTGACTAGACCTCAAAATGGATAATTGAATCAACGCTGAACCAAACAAAAAACAGGACACGAAGTTTAGTAATCAAGCATTTTATAAATGTTGCCAACGAATGTCGAAATTTAAACAATTTCAGTTCAATGGTTGGAATAATTTCAGGATTAACTTCTTTTGAGGTGTTTAGACTAAAAAACAGTGGATGGAACGCATTGAATGGTGAGCGTGAATTAATGAGAACTTTTGATAGTATGAAGAAATTAATTAGTCCTTCGAAAAACTATCAAGAATATCGCTCACACTTGAATAATATTAGACCACCTTTGGTACCATTTTTAGGTAATAAATAATCTCTTTTATTTTTTTATTTTTTTAAATAAATTATTTTTATTTATTTTTTTTTTTTATTTATGAAATTAATTAGGCGTGCATCTAACGGATATTAAACGTTTCGAAGTGATGGAAGACGATAATATTGATTTCTTCAATCGCAAAGAAAACTTCCCCAATTTAAAACATAAATATATATATTACTCAAAGTCCATAAACATATTTGAGATTCTTGATTCGATCAAACGATTTCAATCACTTGATTATAACTTGAAACAAGTTGACGAAATACAGGAATTCATCCAATCTTGTTTAAAGAATGTGGAAACTGACAGCTCCGTATTCGAAAGAAAAAGTTATACTATTGAACCAAAAATTTAATTTGTTTAAATAGTAATTATATTAATCTTAGTAACTTTTATTATTATTTTTTAAATCAACTTTGTCAAATATTATTTTTATTTATTTATTTATAATTTAGATTTTTTTTTTAAATAATCAAAACATTAATATCAAAACAATGTTAATGTCAGAATAATGATTCTAAAATTCAATGAAATAATGAATGGATTGATGAGTTGGTGATTTATGAGATGGAAATTAGCGAAATCTAGAAATCTCTTTTTCTTCTTTAAATCTGGCATGTACCAAATCTACTATTTCGGAAGGGTAGTGCTCTTCAGGTTTTACTTGAAGTTTTTCATGCTCTTTTACTTCTGTTTTTGTCATAACCACACAATTTTGTGTAGTTAATGGCTCGCCTTTATTCCATCTTATAAGGGCTGGCTTTTCGCAAGATCCAGATATTGCACTTTTGCTTCTCCATATCTCATCATAAATATATCCAATCTCATGCACATCCAAAGGAATATTACTATAAAATATGATTAAATAAGCTTTAAATAAATAATTGTATTATCAATAAATATGTATAAGATAATAAATATATTTACTCTACACCATAAATCCTAGTTTCACGATTTAACAGATCACGATGCAATCTTGAATATAGTGATTCACGATTTTTATTTAATAATGGTTCAATATGATATCCCGCTATTTTTGTTATGATATATGTGGCAATCGACATTCCAAACATTGCAGGAATAGTGCCTAATACGGGAAGGATTCTACATCTGAAATCAGGCAAAGTTGCAAAATCTTGAGGATTGTCTTTTCTGCTTTCGTCTAAATAATTAAAACAATTTTAGATTTAGTCATTATATAAATATGAGTATTTATATTTATGAATATGATGGATTTGCAAAAATTAAAAAATACCTAATGGTAATAGCTTAATATTTGGTTTTTCTGTAGAATAGACGACTGTTATCCCTGATTTTACACCCATCTTTTTAAGACGACGTCTGACCGTCCTGGCAAGTGGATCCTCTAATAAAATAAATTCAAAATCGTTTAAATCATTGATATAAAAGAAATGAGAACGAGAATGAGAAAAAGAAAGAAAGATGAATAAGAATACCAATTGTTAAACTGATATCACTCATTTGTATACGTGATGGATCAGCTTTAGCGCCAGCTCCCATGGAACTTATAATCTATTTTATATACATGTATTATTATTATGATGATTGTTTTATATATGTGTGTGTAAAAAGAATTAAATATAATCTAGCTCAATATTCTTTCTTACTGGAAGTTCATTGTCATGGCAATATTTAAGTAAGGCAAGTTTTGTATCGATATTATCAATAGCATCAACAATGAAATCAGCATTCCCTGAACAACAACAGTAATAATTGATGAGTGATACATAAATAATTTTATAACAACTACATTAATAATAACAAAATTTTTTCTTCATACCAGATAAAAGTTTTGGTGCACTTTTACTGTTAAAAATTTCAGTAACAGCCTCAACTTTTGCCCAAGGAGCTATTTGTTTTAAATGTTTTTTTAATGCGATGACTTTTGAAAAACCAACATCTGCATGAGTTGCTACAGCATGTCGGTTTAAACTGCTTACTGTGACTTGATCAAAATCTATAATCCTAATGTGTTCAACACCTGAACGTATTAACATTAAAATTGCCCATGAACCAACACCACCAGCTCCAATTATGATTACAAAAGATTTTCTCAACTTTTCAACACCTTCTTCCCCAAGGAATGATATATTTCTAGTTAACTGTTCTCTAATAATTTTCTCTTCGTATTTCTCTGTCTCGCTATCATCTTTTAGCAACTCGTTAATATCACGGATTCTGTGATTGATTAGAGCAGTCGATGGGGGTAATGATTTAAACTCACGTTTGAGTGCTTTGGTCTTTTGATCCCTTTGATATGATTGATATGAAAAAATAGATAATCCTGTTAAGATTGAAGCACTTAAAGCTGTCAATGCAAATTGTATTTTGGCATTTGTTATTAATAGATTAGTAAGATAATCCTTTAAAGAAGTCATTCTTTGTGAAATTTGAATAGATGAGTATGGTTAAATAGTGAAATAGTTGTAAAGAATATATTATATAAGGATTTGGTATAGTTAATTATAGGAAAATTGATGAAATAATTAAATCACGTGTAACACTGATAATTTTTAAGGGTTTGGGCCCTTATATCAACGTACTTTTAAATATTAGAAATCTTAGTCATAAACAAAATTGATGACTAAAGTTATCCATCATTATTTTGTATATTAGAATAAAAATTCACAATTACTATTTATAAATTATTGTAATTAATAATAAATAGAATTGAATTCGTTCTTTAAAAGAAATTCGCAGATCAAATACCTAATACATAATATAGTAATAATTTATTTAACCAAATATTCATATTTAATATGAATAAATTATTAAAACAGAAATATTATTTGAAATTCTTTTCAAAAATAATGCTTTAGAAATAACAAGATGGGATAATTTGTTCCTTTGTGGTGTTATGTGATTTCCCACATTAGAGAATAAATGTTCAGGAGGTGCAGAAGTTTCATTGATACATAAATATTTTTTGCTAGAATTGACATGATAGGAAATTCATCCTTTCTATCATTCCACCAAGTCAATAGATCTACTTGCCTGAAAGCAGTTGGCAAAGAAAAATATTTTTCATATTCACCTTATGATTCTTCATGTTGTTGCAAATCATTAATAAATTATCAAAAACTGATTTTTTTTCATTGGAGTTGTTGTTTCTTAAAAGAAGTATTACACTTCTTGAATAAGAAGGATAAGAAGACTGCTGGAAGGACTACTATTATGTTGTTGTTGTTCATTGATTAATTCATATTGAATTTTTATATTTCTAAACATATTCTTTCATCAAATGTTTGAACCATGGATCTAATGTTGATGTGAGCATTGCTAAGGCAGAAGGATCAGTCCAATAATGGTTTATTGATTTATATAATGTTGAAATTAATTTTTTATATAATCTGTCAATGTTCACAAGATTTGAAATATTAATTTCTTATCCTTGTTTACTTTCTTCTAATGATGATAATGGTAATTGTTTTTGATCTTCTGATTCTTCTTCATTTAAAAAATCATCAGTATTAATTGGTGGAATTATATTATCATTATCATCATCATTGTCATTATTATTATTGTCATCATCATCATCACCACCACAATCATCTAATATATTTGATAAAAAGAATATTAATTGATAATAGTCGCACTTAAGGCTCCGAACTGAACCGAGTTTAGAGTGATTCGATTCGATTCGAATCAAACCAGATTCCTAATTTTTTTAAAAAAATGTCATATTAAATTTATACTACACAGTGAATCTCAATTTAGTGTAAGACTCCGAACGAATCAATGAAGTTCGAGCCGATTCGAATATATGATTTGATTCGAACTGATTCTAATTCATTTCATTAGTTATGGTATTAGTGATGGTGGCCGAAACTACCTTACCTAGTAGGACGAAATTGGCGGAATTAATTGGTCTAAACTTTGACGAAATTAATTTTAATGGCTGATTGGGAAATTATTTTTAAATTGCTTAATAGATTAATTTAAATATATATTGGACGAAACTATCTTTTCTTCCAAAATAGTTTCGACACTATTACTAAAAAATATCCTTTATCAATTAAAAAATTTTAAATTAAAAATATACACAACCTTGGTTTAGCAGATAGTTCGGGTAATTAGAAGTTTTTTCCAAAAATCCGTTATTGTTATATTAATACAGTAAAACTTGTCACAGCTAAATTCTTTTCATAACGGATTTTTGAAAATTTTGCTTCACATATTTAATATAAAAGCATATAAAAATCGTGTGTCCCATTCATCCGCTATAACAAGGCTTGACTGTGTCAAGAAATCCGTTATATCGAAAATATTATTATTTCATTAGTACCCGTTAAATCGAGGTACGTTAAATTGAGATTCACTGTGTAATATAAAAATGTGACATTAAAAAAAAAAAAAATCTAAGAATTCGATTCGATTCCATCTGATAAAATCACATTTTCATTTGGTGAAAAAAGATCTTCTCCCTCTAATAATTAAGGAATGACATATTTTTCTTAAAACTAGTAGGAAAAAAGAAAAGATCAAGTTGGATTGAAATAAAATAAAAATCTGAAAGAGAATTGTAATAAAAATATGAATAGAAAAAATAAAGTAATGATAACAATGATATAAACAACGATCTATGTCTAAATTCATTTTTTTGCGTGAGAAAAATGATGATGATGATGATGATGATTTGTGAGACCTAAATTAATGTTCATATAATAAAAAAATATAGTTCATAGTATTTAAATATCATAGTTATTCATAAAAATTATTTTAGAAATCATACTAATTACAAAATTGTATGAACCTTTCATTCCATTCTAAAGTTGCCTTCCAAAATTAGAAAATTTCAAAAAGACACTTTTTGAAATTACAAATCACATCATATGTCTTTTATACAAGTTTTTTTGTTTACTATTTTTAACCCCTAACCACTCTTAAAAGGGTTTAAAAGAGATCTTGAGTTTTGGAAGGCAACCTTGGAATGAAATGAAGGCAAGGCTTATTCAATTTTGTAATATGTAAAATTTCTTTTTTCTTGGCATCAAAACGTTAGTTTAAATCCAATCTGAAAAAAGTGAAGGGGGAGGGGGGGCTGATGCTAAACAAAACTTCAAGATTTTTTAATAACTGTTACTGACTACTGCAAAAAAAGGTTTTATGAGAATGGATACCAGAAAACTTTGAGCCAAATGAGGTACTTTTGATTTTAGTTTATGTGCCAGGTCTGGTTATAAAAAATTTGAAATCAAGTTTTTGATTACTAGCAACAATATGAAGAAAGTGAAAAATATTTTTCTTTGACTATCATGTTTGTTCTAGTAAAAAATATTTATGTATTAATGAAACTTCTTGAATGCTTATTCTCTGATGTAGGAAATCACACAGCACTGCAAAGGAATAAATGTTATTTCTGAGGCAAAAAATTCAAATAATATTTCTGTTTTTAATTATTAAAAATATATCACTATTTTTTTATCAATCAATATTATGTATATTTTTTTAATGTAATTTTTATTATGTATATATTTTAATGTATTTTTATTATGATCATTTTTCCATCTTTTACGTGATCTACGAATTTGAATCTCATGAATTAGAATACGGATATTTGTGATGAATGCAAACACTAGATTACAAACAATTAGATATAAAAACTCGACGAAAATTCCCTCATGAATTTCAAAAAATAAAATTCGATAAATTCGCATATACATATACATATTAATATATATATTCACACACCACATACAAAAATTTTTTTAAAGAAAATCTTTAAAGATGTCTCCAACAAATGAAATTAGCCAACATTTTGAAACTCTCCAACTTCACGCAGGTCAAGTTCCTGATCCTACCACTAATGCTAGTGCAGTTCCAATCTATGCGAGTGCTTCCTTTGTATTCAAAAGTGTAGAAGAACTTTGCCAACTTTATAATCATCAAAAACAAGGAAGTACTTATTCTAGGTAAATCTAATTAATTAATCTTTAAAAAATTTATTACTAATAGAAAAAAATTATTTTTTGATGAAAAATAAAAAAAATAGAACTAGTAATCCTACAGTTGGTAAATCTATTAATAATTACTTATATAATATTATAATAAATATAAATATATCAGTTTTTAACATGCACACATAAATATATATATATATATTTAGATGTATTTGAAAAAAGAATGGCAGTTCTTGAAGGAGGTATAGCGGCACTTGCAACTTCTTCTGGTATAGCAGCACAATTTATGGCAATTGCAACAATTTGCGTTGCTGGTGATAATATAATATCATCATCATATCTTTACGGTGGTACTTATAGTCAATTTAAGGTATTTTGATTTTTGATTTTTTAAAAAATTTAATTTATATAATCATCATCGTCGTCGTTCATTCGTAGGTTACGCTTCCGCGTTTAGGAATTAACGTGAAATTTGTTGATGGTGATGACCTGGAAGAATTTGCAAATTCAATTGACGAGAAGACAAAAGCTATCTATGTTGAAACTATGAGTAATCCAAGGTTTAATATTCCAGACTTGGAAGCAATTTCCAAAATTGCTCATGATGCTGGAATACCCCTTATAGTTGATAATACTTTGGGAGCAGGTAATTGCAAGGGTTAACGAAAGAACAAAGAACTTGTGTTCAATAATAAACAGACCTAATTTTTTGCAATTATAAATATTATTAGGCGGATATCTTATTCAACCAATTAAATTTGGCGTAGATATTGTTGTTCATTCAAGGTACTTTGTCCATTATACATTTAGATTATTTATTTTTAAAAACAAAAAATAATATAATCATCTTTGATTTAGTACAAAATGGATTGGTGGACATGGTACAACAGTGGGTGGAGTGATAATTGATAGCGGAAAATTTCCATGGAATAATGGGAAATTTCCCGATTTCACAAAACAATCTCCTAATGGTTTTAGTTGGGGGAAATTTGGTCCGTTGGCATTCATTACTAAAGCTAGGATGGAAGTTTTAGCTGATATTGGTGCTTGTCAAAATCCATTTGGTAGTTTTTTGACATTGCAAGGCATTGAAACACTATCATTACGTGTGGATAGACAAGCTGAAAATTCAATGAAATTGGCTAGATGGTTAGAAAGTCATGAATTAGTTTCATGGGTATCATACCCTGGTCTTGAGTCTCATGCGTATCACAAAAACGCAAAAAAATATATGAGAAATGGATTTGGTTGCGTGTTAGCATTTGGCATAAAAGGTGGATATGATCCATCTGTAGTATTTATTGATTCAGTCAAACTTGTTAGGTAAGATAGATAATAACTTATCTTCTTTATCTCTTTATTTATATCTTTGAGAAATTTAAATTCTAAATACATTTATTTATATTAGCCATTTAGCAAATATAGGTGATGCTAAAACTCTTATAATTAACTCCGCGATCTCTACACACAATCGACTCACTGAAGAAGAAAGATTAAAAACCGGTACACCGATTGATCTAATTCGTGTTTCAGTTGGCTATGAACATATTGATGATATCAAAGCTGACTTTGAGCAAGCTTTTGAAAAAGTGAAAGAAGCAATGTTTTCAGATTAAATATTTTTACAAATAATTTTTTTTAGAAAAATTATATATATATTAGTATTAGCGTATTTTTTTTTAATTTTTTTACTCATTTAATGGAAGGAAATTAAATAGTTGATCATTTTCATTGAAAAAAAAAAAATAAATTAATTTAAATTAATATTAAATTTCTTTCTCGTTAGTTTTTTTAAAATAAACCGCAAAATAAAAATGACAACTTTTAAAATAACGTATGAAAATATTACAAGATGTTTTATAATGCCAAAAGAAACTTTAGCATCATGGTACGAATTAGAAACGAAAACACGCGATGTATTTGGAATTCCACAGCCTTTACAATTCGGTTTAACTTACGAAGATCGTGAAGGTGATATTATTACATTCTCATCCGAAGCTGAATATAAAAATGCATTATTATCTTTAGAATCTAAGGTTAACAAAAATATTGAGAATGATAAAAACGATGATATAATTACTATGAAATTTGGATTAGTCATTTTACCTATATTTACTGATAAAATGTCAAATAATGATATAACAATTAGTGGTGAAGATTTCGAAGAATTAAAAGATAATTCTAAATTAGGATGTCATCAACAATAAAATCTCACTTTAATAGTATTATTTTTTATTTATTTAAGTTAATAATAATATATACTATTTTATATTAAATTTAATTTCTTATATAATAAATATTACAATAATTTTGAAAATTCATTATTATAAAAAAAAAAGCAATTGTTTTGCCAAAACGTCAATGCAAAATGTCTTTTTTTAATAATTTGTCGGAAAATTTTGGTTCTTTGTTAGAAGAAGGCTATGATTATAATGTGTTGATAACTGTTGGGAAAAAACCAAATATTAAAGAATTCAAAGCTCATTCAAATATTTTAAGAATTCGTTCACCATATTTCAACAGTGCTCTATCAAAAAATTGGGCTCATAAAAAAAATGATAAAATTATTTTTAATAAACCAAATATTGACCCTGTGGTTTTCTCTTTAATACTCAAGTAATTTTGGTTTTTATTCTATATTTATATATTTTTTATATATTTATACATATATTTTATATATTTAAATATTTAGATATATTTACACAGGCAAGATTGATTTGAACAGTGTAGATGGATCAGATATTCTTGGAATTTTGATGGCATCCGATGAATTATTATTAGATGAACTGTATGAGTTTGTTGAGAATCATCTAATTAAAAACCCATCAAATTGGATTGAAAAAAATTATGTTGAAGTTTTACACATCATTTATTCATTACCCAAATGTGTGAAACTGAAAGAATATTATTTAAATTCAGTATGTGAATCTCCTAAACCATTTTTTGTTTTAAAAAGTTTTCCAACTATAGAAAAAGATATTTTATTTGATATATTAATGCAAGATGATTTGAACATGGAGGAAATTGATATCTGGAATAGTTTAATTGAATGGGGCGTTCATCAAACCAATAAATTGGATTTAAACCTTGATGTTACAACTTGGGGTGCAGAAGGTTTTGAAGCTTTGAAAAAGAATTTATCAAAATTTGTTGAATTGATTAGATTTTATCAAATTTCTTCAGCTGATTTTTTTCATAAAGTTAGACCTTATAAATCAATTTTACCATTAGATTTATATGAAGATATTGTATCATATCACATGACATCCAGCATCCCAAGATATCCTAATTTGCCATCCAGATGTAACCTTCAAATTGATTCTTCTTTGTTAACATCAAGACAGTTAAGGATAATTATCAATTGGATCAGAAATATCAGAAATGAACTAAATATCAATTCTACACCATTTGGAAATAAATACACATTTACTCTTTTATATAAGGCATCACATGATGGTTTCCAAAATAATATATTTAATGATCAATGTGCAAGTCAAGGCTCTTGTCTTGTAGTCACAAAATGTGATGAAACAAACAAGATTATTGGTGGATATACTTCAGTTGGATTCAATTATAGTTATGGTTATTATAATGATTCTCAAAGTTTTTTATTTTCTTTTAATTTTAATGAAATCAAAAATCCAACCATTTGTCATGTACAAAGTCACAGTCATGCTCTTTATAATGATTATAATGGTTATGGTTATGGTTATGATTATGATTATGATGATTATAGTGGTGGTAGTTATAATAATAGTGTTTTTAATTTTGGATCTGGTGATTTAAGTATGGATAATAGTTATATTAGTTGTAATAATAATAATTACTACAAACATGTCAATTTACTCAATAATAATATAAATAATTTTAATGCAAGTGAAATCGAGGCATTCAAAGTGCAAATTAATACTGATATTATAGATAATATTGTTTAAATTTATTTTTTTGAATTCAGTTTAATAAAGAGCAAATCTTACTAAAATATTTTAAACTTAATAAACTAAATATTAATCTTGTGGTTTGCTAAGTAATATTTTTATTTTAATTATAATTACTTTAGTCATATTTGGATTTAATTGTTGAGAAATCAAAGAAAAAGGCACTAATGCATCTATTAATTGATTGTAAAGAAACACTGTTTAAATGTCTCTTATATCATTTTTTGTTTTAAAACGCAGAAAAGATTATTTTATTTGGATTTCTTATTGACATTTAAATAATTTTGGCCTAATATGACAAAACTTTTCCAATTCTGCTCTTTACCCTTTCAATGGTGTGACTCTTTCCTTAGCACATAAGTTTTGCACGGTATATTATGTCATTTTTTGTGTGATCGGAAAATCTTAAAAGATCATCATAAAATGAAAAAATTCATTCTTAAAAAATAAAACAATGTCTTTTTTTAATAATTTATCAGAAAACTTTGGCTCTTTACTAGATGATGTATGTGACTTTAATGTGTTGATATCTGTTGGGAAAAAACCAAATGTTAAGGAATTCAAAGCTCATTCAAATATTTTAAGAGTTCGTTC